TCGTGAGATCCTCAAACCTGCGCCATTACCAACTCACAGGACATCACCACCATTATACTCGTTGGACTGCGACATCATGGACACATCCGGTGTAGCGTGTGCCGTGGCCCTTGTGTCCGGGAACCACCCCGAGGTGGTGGCGCCCGTCGCCGCATCAATTCTCGGAACCGCCATGTTGGCTTGTGATGTGGGCTGCGGAGCATACCGCTTGAAACAGTAAAGGGCAGTGTGCCCTACAAATCTGGCAACGAGGTCCGCTGCCACCTCTGCCGTTGCGACCACGGCCACCGCCTCCTCTGCCGTTACCGCGACTTGGATGTCCAGAGTTACCGCGACCGGAATTCTGTCCGCCTGCATAGTCGCATCCACCATTGTGGCCCCGACCTGCGTAGAAGGCGGCTGGATTTGCATGATCAGGAGTCGCCGGATAGTCCTCGGCATGAAGAAACTCCTGCGCCCAGAGATAGTCCGCGATCTGCGGTATGGTGACCGGAGTGCCAGCCGCGGTCAAGGACGACGCCATGGCGCGATACTCCTGCCGCAAGCCCCGGAGGACGAACATGTTCTGTTCGTCAAGTGAAATCGGGCAGTCGGCATGCGCAAGGTCTTCTACCAGCAACTGGGCGCGCCAGAGGTACTCCGTCGTGCTGCTGCCACCCTACTTGAGAGCGTGGAACTGCCCGAGGAGGCCGAGACACCTCGCCCGAGTGGAACTGGCCAGCGCCGTGTTGATGGAATCCCAGACTGCCTTGGATGTGGACTGTCCAACCGCAAGATGCATCACTTCATCCGATAGGGATGAGATGAGAAGAGACAACAAGGTCTGATCTTGCTTAATCCAGGCCTTGTAGGCTGGATTAGGAACCGAGGTGGTGGACGTCGTGGATTCTCCAGTCGCAGGTGCGGCTTCAACCATCGCTAGAGGGCATGGCAATTCGCCATCAACGTACCCCATGAGTTCTTGGCCACGAAGAAAAGGGACGAGCTGGATTCTCCAGAACAAAAAATTCCTATATGTCAATTTAATTGACACAAAATGATGTGCACCGCTTAGGGGATTTTGGGTCGTTGCCGGAGATGAATTGCCATCGGCCGAGACTGTGCGTTCGGAGGAGGCTGACATGGTGGTGATTAACCGGTATATTTTGGAGGAGAAGGATTCGGTAATGGTGGTGGGGGAGAGAGAGAGAAATCAACCTGGTCTAACTGATACTAGATGAGATAATTGATTTCAGATTAAACTCCAAGAGGATAGGAAGCACAGTACTAATAGCTAAACAGTCCTACGTAAACAAATCCTATCTAATAGGAAAGCCACAGAAGACTAAGCCTATTACAAAGATAATTAAAGCAACACATAAAATGTAACACAATAATATTCTGACTAACAGAACGCAGCTGTACAAAGAAAGTTGGAGACGAACTATCAAGATCCAAAGAAGCCTGTTCAGCCCCTCGAGGACTTTGTGAAGCAACAACCGAAATACCTACCCCCGCAAAGAAAGTTCAAATGGCGAGTTCTATGGTGAAGCCTCATGGAGTCTCGAATGCGAACGTAACTGTTTCTTCTGGCAAACAACCATTACATCAACCTATGAAGGCTGGAGGATGGCACGGGCCACCTGCTATGCTCCTCCAGGAAGAACTTACTCGAGGAAAGTGTGCGTGGCGGAATGAACGAATTTAAGAGATAACTACACTACACATACATAACGTACAACTATATCAAACTCTACCTTCTAGTAAAGTTTGAAGTTCGGACTAATATAATGTTTAAAGATAAGTTACATATTTTTTAGATAATAAAATTGAATTCAAATTTTATCTGTTATTCGTGTAGCTAGTGATATGCTCTGTTTGGCAGAACTTATTTAGGAGCTTATAGCTTATTTTAAGCTACTAATAAGCTATAAGCTCTGTTCGAGTATGTTTCCAAAATAAGCTCCTAGCTTCCTAACCCTTTTTCCATCTTTATTCTTATTATTTAAAGAAATAACATAATTGACCCTTCCCAATTAAAACCATTTTCTTTTCCCGCAACTTTCACCGCAAATATTATTATTATTATTATTATTATTATTATTATTATTATTATTATTATTATTATTATTATTACATAATAATAACAATAATAATATAAATTTTCTTTTAGACAATTTTCTGTTGTGCGGTCAATAATTAAAAAAAATTATTTTATGAAAAATAACTCATTTTTCAAAAATTATTTTCCTACTTTCCAAACGAACTTTTATATCTATACAATTAATTTGTTAAATTGCATAATAATTATTAGATAATGGCCTTGTTTGATTATTGACAAATTCACCAAAATTTTAACAAATTCGCCATTTTAACATTTTGTCTTTAATCAAAACACCAAAAATATTATTTAATAACTCAAGAATTTTACTCCAAACTACTAAAAACAAAAACAACACATACATTTTGGGTTAATCTTTTCCAAACCCCCCTAATAATAAATAATAATTTTGTTTTTTTTTTTTTTAAAAACTAAAATAAAAAAGTCATTAAGCTAAGACTTCGTAAATAAGAGTTTTTTGGTGTCTTAATACTTGCCCACATTGATGGGCAAAATATTATGTTTGTAAGATGAGCATTGCTCCTCTTATATATAATTGTCGATGTGGGATCAAAATGATCCCACATCATTTACAAAGAGGATCCCTTTGTCTTCTTATTTTTCTCCTTCTTCTAATTTTTTTAATATTAATTTTATTTTGTATGTAGTGTTGTTTGGATTATTATTATTATTATTTGATTATTACATTATTACATATGATTTTTATTATACTTGAACAATATATATATATATATATATATATATATATATATATATATCAAGGTTGCAAAACACGTTAGGCGCTGAGGGGGCGCCTAGCTCCTAGTGCACCTAAGGCACCTAGGCGCCGATTTATATTTTTTTTTAAATGTACAAAAAATAAAAAATAAAAATTATCAAAATTCACTAATAACATAAGGTTCTCATCGTTTTTTCTTACAAACTATTTATTTAAGTGGCTATAAAATTGTTTAAAATATTGTTGAAACCATCTAGATACATAAAAAATTAAAAGTAAGAGTTAAAGAAGCATTTTTTTGAGAAATTGGTTTGGAAAATCGCCCTTGGCTGTTTGCAGTGGGTAGATCTCGAAAAAATACGCGATTTGAAAAAAAAAATTGTCCAAACGGACATCCAAGTCAAAAGTTATGCCTTCGCAAAGTTTTTAACCTAAACCCTAGAAAGAGATATTTTTTAGGAATTGAGCGAAAAGTTAATTTTCAGGATTTTGTTTTTAAATATAGCATAGATTAGAATAGAATTATATTACACTATTTTATAATATTAAAATATAAATTTTAATCTAGAATTATAGTACGAATAGAAAAGTATAAAACAATATATTTTTATGAGAGATTTTTAGGAATTGGACGAGAAGTTAAAGTTTAGGATTTTGTTTTTATATATAGTATAAATTTTCACGTATCTTTATTAACTGATTGGGAAAGATCATGATAATATTCAATTTTAATATTTGATAATATTCAAGACTTATTGGCCAGCCTTGACACCAAAATTTCCGGGGGTCGACCCTCTCATTAGTCATAACCTTTTCCCTCGCTGACAGCTCAAAAATCAAAATAAAGTCCACTTTACAACTTTCCCGCCGTGAAAGGCTCTGTTAGAAAATAATGTTTTTTTTTTTTTTGAAGAATGTCAGTGTCTCTATATTATTCCAAAGGCTAAATCCCAACCCTAAGGGCCCCCACACCCCGGCCCGACAGAGCATGCGCACCAAGGAGCCCCCCTCACTGCCCCCACATCCCGGCCCGATAGAGCATTTGAGAGGATGTAAATCATGGTGACTTAACCGAACATGAACTATAGAGGCTAGACCGGTGCTCATTGCGCACAAGGAGCCCCCCTCACTTTGAGAGGTTGCACCCACACTGCCGCTGGTGAGACTTGATCCCTGGTCATTATTCCAAAGTTTCACCTCTATGACCAGTTGAGTTACCCATGCGGGCTGTTAGTGTCTCTATATGCTTAGTTCACTGGTACAATATATTGAAGAATAAATTAAAGTTTGAAACTTGGTAGGATCATGAGATGTTTCATAAATAGATGTTAACTGATTGGATTAGTGAGTTTTACTAGTTGATTTTTTTTTTTTTGGGTACATTTGAAGCCCTCAAAGAGAGCGATTATCTGACTCTAAGGTTCGGTATTCTCATAGTGTCAGCGTAGAGCAAACCATGTAGCTCTTCCGGGGCATTGTCAAGGATGTTCGTGCCCCAGTTAGTTGTTTGGCCCATGTTGGCCAGCCTATCTGCGCACTTGTTCCCCTCTCGATCTATGTGAGAAATCCGAATATTGGTGAACTTGCCGATCAAGTCTAAACAATCTTTAATAAGGGAACCAATAGGTTCATTTGCCGTGCTACCTCTGTTAATGACGGAGACCACGGCCGCCGAGTCCATTTCCACCCAAACCTTGATGTACCCCTCTCTCCAACACAGCCGTAGACCCTCCCTTAGGCCCCACAGCTCCGCGGAGAAACTGTCGGTCAAGCCAACTTTCGTTACCTGCTAGATGATTACATGCAAATTGATTTTTTCAAAAAGCTAATCGAAAAAGTTACTTTGAACAGTTTTTTGAAATTAGCATTTTGGAGTAATAAGTTTTACAGAAAGCTAATTAATCAAACACTCTCGTATTGATTGTTTAACCAAGTCAAACAACTAATAGTGGTTAAATAAGTCAAAATACCAAACGAAGCCTATATCTAAAGTGGACAAATCTTTTGTGTACACCGATATTTAGTCCCGTCTACTGTATAACTGAATTATCATGACTTACATTCTATCACATGTTATGTCGGGCCGGTGTGTAGAACGTCGTCTGAGTTGGGGATTCAACTTTTGGGAGAAGAAGAAAATAATGTTATTCCCGCTGCTGCCCCCCTACTTTCTCTCTTTTTGCATTTCTCTCCCCAACAACTTCTCTAAAAAGACAATTCTCCAAATTCTCGCCCATTTTCTGTACACTGGAGTGGCCTCTCTCTCTGGGCAATTGAGCTGGCATATGAGGAAATGAATGCCACAGGTGGAATAGCCGCTGCGGCAGCTTCTACAAGCACAACTGCGACAAGCAGGTTCGTGAAATGTGTGACAGTGGGAGATGGAGCTGTTGGCAAGACTTGTCTTCTCATCTCCTACACCAGCAACACTTTTCCAACGGTATGCTTATGCCTCTCTTTGGATTGTGATTGAGACTTTGTGATTGCACACAAACTGTTTGTGAAAATGCCTGTGCTCTTGAATTGTTTGGTTTCCAGGATTATGTTCCCACGGTTTTTGACAATTTCAGTGCCAATGTCATGGTTGATGGGAAGTCTGTGAATTTGGGTTTGTGGGATACTGCTGGTATGTGCATTTCTCCCACTATACTCCTCCTGCCTTAGCTTCATGTTATATGGTTTGAAATCTGAAAGTCCATAAATTTTGTCTGTTTAATTTAAAACAGTGTGTTATATTCCTTGTTATGACAATTGCGGATTAACTTAGGGTGTGTTAGATTCGAACATGAGAATCAGAATCGGAATGGGAATCAAATAGTTGAAAGTGTATAAATTTTGTTTGTTTAATTTAAAACAATGTATTATATTCCTTGTTATGGCAATTGCGGATTAACTCAGGGGTGTTTGGAAAATGGCTTATTAGCGAAAGTTCAACTTGTTTGTCTAGTCAAACAATTTATATGAATGTGTGGTAAGCAACTTTTGGCTTAGCTTATTAATACCAATAAGCTGAAAATGAAAAATCTACTTTGAGTAACTTATTAATATCAGTTTATTCCAGTTTCGTTTTAAAAGTCTAATTTACCTTTAACAATCTGATATATATATATATATATATATATATATATATATATATATATATATATTATTAATCAGTTATGTTAAATTATTATTAACTACAAACTATTTTTTTATAATTATAAAATTATGGAATAAGGTTCAAATTGGCCACTGAACGTAACCTGAAAATGCAATTAGGCCACTGAACGAAAATAAAGTGCAATTAGGCCACTGAACACTCCAAAAACGTGCAATTAGGCCACTAAACTCTCCAAACGTATGCAATTTCACCGGATAACAGGTTACCATCAATTTTAGCAGGTTACCTGCTTACGTGGCAGTTGAGTTGGCATTTTTAATAAATTTTAAATAATTTTTAATAATTAATTTTAATAATAAATTTATAAAAATTTGAAAAAAAAAATAAATAATAAAATAAAGTCGTTTTTATTTTTTTAAAAAAATTTTAGATAAAAATTTATTATTAAAATTTATTAAAAAATATTTAAAATTTATTAAAAATGACAACTCAGCTGCCACGTAAGCAGATAACCTGCTAAAATTGAGGGTAACCTGCTGTCAGGTGAAATTGCACATTTTTGGAGTGTTCAGTGGCCTAATTACACTTTTTTTTCGTTCAGTGGCCTAATTGCATTTTCAGGTTACGTTCAGTGGCCAATTTGAACCTTATTCCTAAAATTATTAATAATAAAACAAAAAATAATAGTTAAAAATAATTAATAATAACAAAACAATAACAATAAATTATAAAAATACTTTAAGAGTTAAGTAAATAGCACAATATACTTATTCTTTTCCAATTGCCAAACACCTTTTAGTCTTGCAAATAATTTTATTTTTAAGGATAAAAAGAATGTGAATTCTCATTGTTCCAGTTATAGTTTCTTGCATAAATAGAGGAAATTAAAGCAATGATGGCCTAGCCCTGCAGAGTGCAGGCTGATATCATCAAGGATCAAAACCCATTATTTTTGTTAAAAGATGATTTTCCAAAAACTGTTTGTAATTGTTACAGGACAAGAGGACTATAACAGGCTTAGGCCCCTTAGCTATAGAGGAGCTGATGTCTTCCTCCTTGCATTCTCTCTGATAAGTAGGCCTAGTTTTGAAAACATTTCAAAAAAGGTAATCCTTTTTACAGAATTTGTTTTCCTTTGCTCATTATTGTATCCAACAGGCTAGTGGAATTAAATTCTTGGATCATATAAGTGACCATAATTTTTTTTTTCTTGCTTTCATTCGTTATGTCGGAGAAGTGGGTTCCAGAGCTAAGGCATTATGCACCTTCAGTACCCATTGTTCTAGTGGGGACCAAACTGGGTAACCATTCTTCTTTCTTAAAGATTAATTAATGTCTCTTATGCACTTTCTTCTTTTTACCCTCTCACCAATTCAAAATCCTATACTTTACCACTCAGCAGCAGGGGTTTTCTTTCTTTAGAGTAATGATTTCCAAGCCCCTTAACCTTTTTCTTTTACTTTCTTAATCTAATGGAGTTCATCTACACAGCAGATTTAAGAGAAGACAAGCAGTTTAAAAGGGATTATCCAGGGGCATGTACAATATCAACTGAGCAGGTGCATCATTTATTCTTTTCTCGTGTTGAACATCATATCATATAAATAATCAATGTGTAGTCTGCCCGTACAGACTTAACTTACTGGTTTAGTAGACAGTATTTGAGGGAAGAAACCAAAATTCGAAACTCGGCAGCGGCAGTGTAGGGATTATGTCCAAATTGGACAGATCCCCTTGTATGCACCCGCATTTAGCCTTGTCTACTGAGCCATTGAGTTACCGTGTTTTTCCAAATGTTCTGTCAGATCGGGGTGTGGGGACCCTTAAGATTGGGGATTCAATCTTTTGGGAGAATAATAAATGTACCATCTAACTATTAACTTAGATTTTTAGTTGACAACTAACACTGTCTTTCAATTAAGCCTGACATTATGCATTCAAAACCTCTGACATTCTGTAAAACAGGGTGAAGAGTTGAGAAAGCAAATGGGAGCTGTGGCATATGTTGAGTGTAGTGCCAAAACACAGCAGGTAATTAATAATTTACCCTCATTGATATATTAATATTAGGACACTAAGTATGAATTATGAAGATGAAAAATGGATGATAGTTTACAGAAATAATGAGTTGTGTTACCATGATTTACATCCTCTTAAAGTGAGAGGGGTTCTTTGTGCGCAGTGAGCACAAGTCTAGCCTTTGTAGTTCATGTTCAGTTGAGTTACCATGATTTATATCCTCCCAAATGCTCTGTCGGGTCGGGGTGTGGGGGCCCTTAGGATTAGGGTTCAGCCTTTTGAAAGAATAAATGAGTTGTGTTAGTGAATTATTTTGTTACTCTGTGCCCGTTTCACCCTTGCCAACTTAACCCTAGTAATTACTATCGTTTACTTCTATTTTTATGCAATTCAAAGTGATGTTAAATTATATTAAATCTACAATCTATCTACAAATTTAATAAGAGCGAATAATGTTAGGCCCTTAACTGGAACAAAAAAAATGTAGGTACTAATTGTTTCTTAAAATGAATGGTTCATATTATTTTGATTTTAGTATCTTTTAATGATTTTCCTTATTTACCCTCTATTATATTATTTTCTTCTCTTAAATAACCCTAAATTCTGTTAGTTTAAACTTTAGTAACGGAATATTCCGTTAACTATTTATTATTCTTAACATACTCTTAATTTATATAAGGTCTTAGATTCGAACCTCATTCCAAGTATAGTTGGCATAATTGTTAAACATATATTATGAATTATGGATATGTTAAAATGTATTAAAAATATATATAATATAAAATTTAACATAAACTTTGGTCAAATAATTAACTCGACTAAATATATAGCATTCAAAGATTATAAATCAGGAACTACTTTAAAATCATTTGATTTTCTTGAATTTTTTATTAAAAAAAAAAATTTAGGTTAAGTTTTTTTTTTTTTTTTTTTTTTTTTTTTTTTTTTTGTTTAATTAATCTTCTTCTGATTATTTAGAACAAAACTTAATATTTCAATTATGTTTTTGCATGATTGGAATGATTTAGGTCATTATGGTATTAATATTTTTTGTATTTTTTTATAATGGTACAATTGTACATTACTTTACAAATATTATACTATTTTTTTTTATCAGACAAAATTGTTCTTACATAATTGTCAGACCTGCGCGGTCTAACTACAAAGTTGTTGATCATAAATACAATTACACATGGACTCTAAAAAGGTAGGATCATTTTCTAAATAATTGACAATGTTAACATCCTACTAGCTCCAATTGAACAAGTTTACACATCAAAATTTTATCAATGCATAAAAACTTCTAAAGAAATTTGTAAGTTAATTTTTACTATATCATTATATTAATATCTATTGTAACCATATATTTTGAATTATTTATTATCATCCTCTATTAACAGCAATTGTAGCAATTGTCATGGATAAACTCTCAAAACAATTTGTCTCAACAAGGAATGGAAATTAAAAAAAAATTATTGATTTCATTATTGTTGAAGAAAAATATGTATGACATTTTATTACTCTTATTAATTAAATAAATTAGTAGCTACAACAAAAAATAATACATATGCATTTAATTAATTTAGAATTAGATGTCTATAATGCTTTATTTAAAAAAAATTATTCATTATAAAAAAACGTAAAAGAAATATAATTTCATTTGTTATATTATCTTTATTTTCTACAATTCAAAGATTCCTTATCTCCAAATTTATTAATTTATTATATTCACTACATTGTTCATTGTCTTCTTTTTTACATTATCTTGTAATTAAATATCAAAGTTATAATACAAAACATGTTATATATATATATATATATATATATATATATATATATATATATATATATATATACTTATTTATTTATTTATTTATTTATCAAATATTTTATACAAATATAATAAATATTAGTATTTTGTTCAATACTTTTACATGATAACCTACGACACACATCTCACAACACATGAAACATGTAGGGAAAAAACTAGCACTACTAAATATCAATAGGTGTTTGAACGCTAAAGAGTTCATATTAATTACAATTAAAATCTCAGTCATATACACAGCAAGGCAAATCTAAAACTTTCTACACCATAATCTCATTGCATGATGAATCCCTCTATGCTTCTACCAGTAACCTAATTGCACATGACACACTACCAATAAAAAAAAAAAAAAAAAGAGGACATGTACTGAATATGAAAACAAAAATAATGCTACCCAAACGAAAATTAAGAAGAATTAGAGAAATTTAAACCAAAAGTAGTATTTATTTAGATTATCACTTTAAGACTAAGTATTTAAACTAGCGTTATTACAAAATTGCAAACATTTATTTTAGTGACAATTATAATCAATCTCTCATATATTATCTTGCATTTATATACTTTAAATTACCGATTTAAATAAACAAATTCAACATTTATTTACCCATGCATGAACATCTCCTATATAATATTGCATTAATATACTTTGAAATACTTATTTAAAAATAATTATTGGGTATTATCCCATTCGCGCAAAGCGCGTAAAAAAACTAGTATTACAATAAGGGGGCGTTTGGTTCAGGTTATATAACATAACCAAGGGAATGTGACATTCCAAAGCTCACATTCCAGTGTTTGGTTCATATTATCTTATGGAATCTAACATTCCCAGGGAATGTCACATTCCCTCCACATAGAATTTTGAAGAGAATGTGATTCCCTTTAAAATCTTAGGTAATGTAAGATAACCTTAGTTATGTTAGTTTATATATATATATATATATATATATATATATATATATATATACACATAATTATTTTTGTAATTTATTTTTTTTTTTATTTTTTTATTTTTATTATGTTATGTTAGCATATAAAATAATTTTGTTTCTCAAGTTCAAGATTTTAGTTAATATTTTAAAATCATGTAATTATATATGATACCGTTATCTTATTTATTTATTTTAATTTTTAAATTTATTAAAATATATGAAAATATGTTAGGGATATTATAGTGTGTATAAAAGATAACCCTAAACCAAACATTATTATATTACATATCTCAATTTTAACCAAACACAGGAATTTAACATTCCCAGTAATCTAACATTCCCAGCAATCTAACATTCCTTAAGGTAATCTGACATTCCGTGAACCAAACGACCCCTAAATGTAAATGATGGTACAGTTGTTTTCCCCCTATTCTCACTAGAAAAGGGCCATTTTATTAAAGCAAAAAAATAAATGTACATCATAAATTCAACATATGATGGTCTACAATTGAACGGGGAACGAACCCCTTTCTCGCCATCTATCAACCAAGTTACGACTAAAGAAATCAAGAAAATACAAGTAAATCAACCTAGGCCATACAAAAGAGAAACCTATCAACATGTAGTGCTTTGCAAAATTAAAAATTAAAAATTAAAAATTAAAGAGAGCAATCTAAAGAATAAGCCCCTATTACCCTGACACAAATTATATCATGGATTAGGATTTATTTTGCATTGTAAACCCTAGTCCAAAACGATATTTAGATTAGACTTAATTCCAGCAGAGTTCTTTTGTCTTTGGTGTCAATCATAAATTTAGTCATGGACTATCGCTTTTGTCATTGAACACCAAGACTATCATATTTTGGACACTTTTGGTCCTTCTGATGACTTTTCTAGTGAAACCTTATTTTAGGCAATGGTATTTTCGTCTCTTCAATTTTTTAGATTATTTTCCCAATAAGTTAATTCCAGCGGAGGTTCCTTGTCTTTGGTGATATTTTCAAATTTAGTCCCATACAATCATTTTTATCATTTAATACCCTAGACTATCATATTTTGAACACTTCTCTGGTGATTCCGATGACTTTTCCGGTGAAACCCTATATTTTAAGAAATTGTATTTTTTTTATTATAAAGAAGAAGTTTCTCTCTCTCTCTCTCTCTCTCTCTCTCTCTCTCCAACTATAATAGCTGTCCAAGTCATTTGAGGTGCCTACAATTCAGCGAGGGGATTAGTCATTGACCCTGGATACATCGTAAAAAAATGACGTAAGGGGTGGCATCAAGATAAAAGTAGTTGTGGATTGGCCACGACAAAACTTAGCTATTACCTTGTCGGAATTCCTTTGCTTAGTAGGTTTTTACAACATTTATTTTATTTTATTTTAAATTTATCAAGAATTATGGAATTACAGCAAATCCATTAACTAACTTGAAAATATTAGTCATCCCGAATAACTATGTGAAACTCGTGTTCTTGGGAAAGACCATCATCTATTACTATTCATGAGAATTCCATGGTGTGCACAACACCCACTAGAGCTCGTTTATACTGACGTATGTGGGCCTATGAACATTTTATCAATTGGTGGTAATAGATATTTCCTTACCTTTATTGATGACTTCACAAGAAAAATGTAGGTTTGTTTGTTGAAATTGAAAGCAAAAGTGTTTGATTGCTTTAAGAAATTTAAAGTCATTGTTGAAAAACAAAGTAGTCATTTTCTTAAAAATCTACGAAGTAATGGCAGAGGTAAATACGCATACAATGACTTTAAGAGTTATTGTGAAGAACATGAGGTGCAACACAGCATTGCATTTCCCTATACTCCACAACATAATGGAGTGGCTGAGAGGATAAACAAAACCATACTAGACATGACAAGAAGCTTGCTTAAAGCAAGAGGTATGCCAAATTATTTTTGGCTGAAGTAGTTTCATGTGCAGTTTATTTGTTGAATAGATCACCTACTAGGAGCTTGGTGTAAGGCTTGTAGTGGATTCAAATTAAACAAAATGTGAGGCACTTGAAGGTGTTTGGATCAATTGCATACGCCCATGTGTCTACAGCAACAAGGACAAAACTTGATGATAAAGCATTGAAAATAGTCCTTTTAGGTTACAAGCAACGGGGCTATAAACTGTACAATCCTGTGGCAAAAAAGGTGATTGTCATTCGTGACGTTACATTTATAGAAGATGAAACATGGAGTTGGAGTGTGGTGCTCATCAAGATCAACAAAGATGAGTTGTTTATGTTCTTGATGAAAAACTTGTTGCTACTGCAATGCCAATAGAAATAGTAGGAGAACCACTTTGTTATATATAACACCAGTTACAATACCTATTAAACAACAAAGGAGATCAGAATGACAAAGACAAATGTCAATGCACGTACACAATTATGAGGTAAGCCTTGAATGACAAAATCAATGATGATGGTGAACTGGCTCACTTTGCTTTGTTAGCAGAAATTGAACTTGTGAAATTTGAAGAGGCTATTCAAAATCCCAAATGGATGAAAGCTATAGACGAGATGTCCTAAATTGATAAAAATTGAACGTGGAAGCTAGTAGATATTCCACGGTGTCACAAGACCATTAATGTGAAATGGGTCTTCAAGATAAAAATGAAGTCAAATGGTAAGGTTTAAAGATACAAAGCAAGGTTGGTGGCAAAAGGGTTTGAACTGTAACGTTTTACCAGTTACTATTATTATAACATTAGGATAAGTTATGATAATATTCAGTATTTAATGTGTGGGGCAACACTAATAACCTAATAGCTAGACTACCATTATGATTAGGAGTCTGGTTAGGGTTTAGGAGACCTAAAGACATACAACCACAATGATGGCCCGTGGTTATATAAGGTCACTAGTCATCTCACTGAGTCACTGCTCACATTACATACCTCATACACCATCTAGAGAGAGCTGAGTAAAGTGAGAGACAAAATACTCGTTATCTCTGCAGCAGTCCGGATCGCTCAACCGTCTCAAGAACTATGGCAGGAGGTTAGTCGGTCCTGTTATCACATATTATATGATGCATGTGATATATTTAGTCTAACATGAACAACAACAAAGTTATGGTTATGATGAGAATTTTTCCCCTATAGCTCGAATGAACACAGTGAGGTTGATCATTGCTTTAGAAGCCCAAAGGCAATGGATGATTTACCAAATGGATGTGAGGTCAGCCTTCCTCAACGACCTACTTGATGAAGAGGTTTATGTAAAGCAACCACATCACTTTATACAACATATAAAGAGGACAGAGTGTGCAGACTCAAAAAGGCTTTATATGGCCTTAAGCAAGCTATCCATGAGCTTGGAATAAGAGAATTGACGTGTTCCTTCAAGAAGTTGGTTTTAAAAGTGTATCCGATCATGATTTATATGTGAACGCTAACTTTGGAGATTTTTTTGTTGTTATGCCTTTATGTTGATGATGTGATCTTTACAAGTAATAATCATAAAATGATTGAAGATTTCAAGGACTCAATGATAAAGGAGTTTGAGATGTTTGATCTCGGCCTCATGTCTTATTATTTAGGCATTGAGGTAGTTCAAAGAGAAGATGAAATCTTTATCAGTCACAAGAAATATATGCTACTGAACTTCTAAAGAAATTTCAGATGCATAACTCAAATCCTGTTCGATATTCTGTTGAAATAGGAACAAAACTGACAAAGGAAGGTGTTGGCCAAGATGTTGATAGAACATACTTCAAACAAATTGTTGGAAGTCTCAGATATCTCACATGCACCAAACTCAATATTAGCTATATATATGTTGTGGGATTAGTTAGTAGATTTATGGATTCCCCTTGGCAATCACATTTGCAAGTGGTAAAGAGGATCATGTGCTACATCAAAGGAACTTTTGACCACGAATTATTCTACTCATCGTTTGAGGAAAATGATCTTGTTGGTTATTTTGATCGTGATTGTGGTGGAGATTTGGAGGAAAGAAAGAGTACTAGTGGTTATTGCTTTATGCTTAGAAAAACAATGTGTGTTCGTGGTCTTCAAAGAAACAATCCATGGTTGCAGTATCAACATGTGAAGCTATGTACATTGCAGCAACGTCAAGTGCATGTTAGGCAATTTGGCTTAGCAACATAATAAGCTAACTATTAATTTAGCCAAAAATCCTGTATTTCATGGAAGGAGTAAGTAGATAGACAGACACTATCATTTCTTAAGAGATCAAGTTAACAAGGAAATGATCAAATTTGAGTACTACAATACTATAGATCAAACCGCAAACATTTTTAATGAAACCTACATCAAGCTAAGTAATCAACTTGGAGTGACTCCCAAATCATAATTAAGGGAATGTTGGACTGACATAATTCTGATTTATTATTTACTACTAAGTAATTCATTTCTTATGGATCTTATCTTATATATATAGCATTGATCCTATTTTATAGTTGTTTTTAATACTATATAAAGGCGTTTAGGACAAACTTTGTAATTACGTTTAAGTATAATCATCTGCAATAATATTTCTTTTGTTATTTTCTTTCTCATTTGTAATAATATTTCTTTAGTTATTTTCTTTCTATCTAGTGTCTGCTTAATAATTGTTGCAACATCAATTTCAACACATCAGTTTTGCAACTTTTAATTTATACTTCAATTTTTCTATAATATTTATAATGTGTGTTAATTTGTAAATGTGTCATACGTGATAACACATATATAAATTGATTAGTTGATATCAAATATATTTTGTGCTTCAATAATGGAAATTTTTTTTTTTAAATATACCTTTGGATAAATCATCTAGCCAAGGTATTATATATATATATATATATATATATATATATATATATATATATATATATATATGGGCGCGATCTCGTGCGAATGACCGTCCAATTGCGAAATGCGAACCAATCAAGTGCACTTATTTTCACTCAGGTGCACCTAGTTATAATTATATGTGCACCTAGATTTGGACACGTGGCGCGCGCTGATTGGTTTGCATTTTCGTACCTGGGCGCATCATTCGCACCAGAACGCGACTATATATATATATATATATATATATATATATATATATATATATATATTCTGGTGCGGGGATGGCTTCCCGTGCGGTTATGCGGTTGATGCACCTTAAGTACACAAACCGTACACCTTAAACATACAAACAAAGTACCTTAAGAACACAAACCACACGCACCTAAAGCTTTAGACACAAACCACACACCTTAAGTAAATAAACCACGCACCTTAAGCACATAAACAAAGCACCTTAAGAACACAATCAACGCACCTAAGGTTTTAAAATGGCGCACCTTAAGTTTCAACAACTGACGCACCTTAAGCATACAAATCACACACCTTAAGAAGGAAAACCACGTAGCTTAAGCTTTAGATTGACGCACCTTAAGTTTCAACACTGAGACACCTTAAGCACACAAATCATGCACCTTAAAAGGAAAATCACGCACCTTAAGAAGGAAAACCACGCACCTTAGCAACCGCACAACTGCACCTGAGAAGACCAACCGCACGAAACCCCCATTTCTATATAATTAAAAAAACATTTATAAATATCTTATAGTGTATTTTAACTTATTATATATATTGTATGTTTCATTTGCTCCTATTCAACAATATTTTGACCCTGCAAATATGACGAAGAAACACAAATTATTTCACTGCAGAATGTTAAAGCTGTTTTTGACGCTGCAATTAAGGCGGTTCTGCAACCTTCAAAATCCAAGAAACAGAAAAGAAAATATAAAGCATGTCGTATTCTCTGATCTGATCAAATACATTTGAGGTTATACTCCTGCATGTATATATAGCTAATAGCTCTAAAATATGATTCTTAATTTCTCCTTTGGAATCGAGTCTTTGTTTTTCGTATTATTGTCAATTTATTCGATTATGTTTAATTTTCAATGTTTAGAAATGCCCTGATGTTCTAGTAGAATCTATGTAGTATACCATTGAAATTTGTTAGGTCTTGCCTCCTTGTACATGATTCCAGTGCTTTTACAAAAGAGGTATATCCACAAAGATGAGAATAATTATAGTATATTAACCAAAATAGGAAGCATATGAAAGTGTCAAAGACCCTTTGGTCAAGCGGCATAGCTATGACTTTAGGTTGAAAAAGTATGTATGAACATATATTAAATTATAACCGAGTTAGTAATATTAAAAAAGTACATTGTAACAGAGTCAATAGTACCAAAAAAACAAAAAAAGCATATGGAAGTTAGATAAAAGGAAAATGACTTTATGTAATGTGTTTTCTTGATTGAGTATAATTCTCAACTTTTAAAAGCTTTTGTTATGATTTGACTCATTCTGAATGATTAACAAGTGATTTTGGTAAAAAAAGGATGGACGAGAATCACAACCTCTTTTAGAAAGTTAGGGTGTATAATGCAACAATTGAAAGCAATGAAGAGATTAAAAAACTATAATTTCATAATTGAGCTAAAAATACTTTTCAATTACATGCAATTTGTTATTACACTAGTTTTTCATGCGCATTGTGCGAATGGATAATACCTAATATTTATTTTTAAATAAGTACTTCAAAATATATCAATGCAAGATTATATAGGAGATATTCATGTATAGGTAATTGAATGTTGAATTTGTAATTCAAAGTATATGAATGCAAAATAATATAGGAAAGATTGGTTATAGTTGTCATTAAAATAAATGTTTGTAACTTTGTAAAATCGCTAGTCTAAATACTTAGTCTAAATAAATACTAATTTTGGTTTGAATTTCTTTTAGTTTTCTTAATTCTTGTTTGGGTAGCATTGCCATTATCTTCATCTTCAGTACTTGTCATCTTCTTTTTTATTGATAGTGTGTCATGTGCAATTGCGTTACTTGTGGTAGCATAGATGGCAACATCATACAATGAGATTATGGTGTAGGAAGCTGTGAATTTGCCTTGTGTATATGACTGAGATCTTAGTTGTAATATGAACTATTGATCTTGCCAACACCTATTGATACTTGGAAGTAGTAGTTTTTCCCCCTACATATTTCATGTATTGTGAGATGTTTGTCGTAGATTCTCATGTGAAAGTATTGAATAAAATATTAATATTTATTATATTTGTAGAAAATCCATGAGTAGTACTATTAGGACTCTCTAGTAGTGTCCTATGAATCTACTTCTATCTAGTATTATATGTACTCGTATATTGTATTCTGTTGATATACACTTACACCATCTTTACGTAATAATACAACAGTTGAGATCCTCACAACTTTCATCTGGTATCAGATGCTTTGTTTCGATCTTAAATGGAGTCTTCTCATCCGTTCGATCCTTCATCTAAACGCACGCTCTCTGTCAACGACCGCACCTCTGCTCCGGTGGTGGCTCCGCCGTCCATGTCGTCAGCTCAGCACTTCGTGTTGATCAAGCTCACATCGCGGAACTTCTTATTCTGGCACACCTAGCTAGTTCATTTCATCCGTGACCAAGATATCCTCGGCTACGTCGACGGCTCCAATCACTGCCCTCCGATGGTTATTCCCGCTGCGGATGGTGGTTCCCCGGCGGTGAGCGAAGCCTATAGCACACTAGTTCAACATGATCAGTCGATCCTATCCATGCTCGTCTCGTCCCTCTCTGAAGAAGCGATGTATCTCGGGTTGGTCGTACGACGTCGCGAGAGGTATGGGAGCATATGCATTCGCTGCCAAGCCAAGAGCCCGAGTGCGCGTGTAAAAGCCAAACGCGTTCTCCACCGCCTGCCATGCCTCTTGCGACGTCGTGCGACCAACCGCGAGATTCATCGCTTCTTTAATGAGGGACGAGACAAGCATGGATAGGATCGACTGATCCTGTTGAACCCATGCGCTATAGGCTTTGCTCACCGCTGGGCAACCACCATCAGCAGCGGGAATAACCATCGGAAGGCTTGGAGCCGTCGACGTAGCCGAGGAAACCTTGGCCATGGAGGAAAGGAACTAGTTGGGAGCGCCAGAATAAGAAGTTCTGCGATGTGAGCTTGATCAACACGAAGTGGTGAGCAGACGACATGGACGGCGGAGCCACCACCGGAGTAGAGGTGCGGCCGTCGGTAGAGTCCGTGTGTTCGGATGAAGCATTGGACGGATGAGAAGACGCCATTTTGGATCGAAATAAAGCGTCTGATACCAGATGAGAGTTGTGAGGAACTCAACTGTTGGATTACGTAAAGATAGTTTAAGTGTATATCAAGATAATACAATCTATGAGTCTACTTCTATCTAGTATTATATGTACTCTGTTAGGAACATTTCTAATTAGATTTTGATGATACCAATTGATTTTGTGTGTGTGTGTGTGTTTTGTAAAAAACAATTGTTGAACCGATACTAACATTGGAGTACCCACTGTTGCTTTTTCACCACAATACATGCAGTTAAATAGTTTATCACGTTGTGCATAAACCATTTTCTAATATATTTGAAGGGTGCACAATAAGTATTTTACATACAGGATCAGTGAATGCTGCAACGATGGCTATTTTTGAAATTTCTTCATTTTTTTTTATTTGCAAGATTGATCGCGGCATTATTGTAGTCTCTACATCTTTTCAATGCATCTAGTGTGTCACGATGTTCTATTGCCCAACCTTGACATTTTTAATAATGAGTTTTAGATGTAGCTATGATCTAATTATCATTTTCATATTATTATCAACATAAAAACATACCAGTCCTGTTGGTCTGCTCGAGATACTTTTGGCTTAACCATTATTGTTGAATAAGTTCTTGTGGATAGAGAAATTCCTTATTTATTTAAGGAATAAGATTAGAAAATGTAGTAAAAATTTATACATTTTAAATCATCTTAATAAAGAAATAGGGAAAATTGTAATTTATGCTCCTCCATAATATGTCAATTATCATTGTCACCCCTGAATTATTACTAGTGTAAATGTTGCCCCTCAATTTTCAAAACAGTACATATAGTGTCCTCCCGTAGTGTAAATGTTTCCCCTCAATT